TTTATAAATGAGTATAGATATTTATAGTATTTTATAAATCTCGGTTTTAGAAAATTCGTAAGATTTCATCTTTATAAAATATCATTCTTTTAAAATTGAAATTCTTGACTAGTAATAATTATTCGTTATTCCCGACACACATCTTGAAAGATATTTCTTTGAATTCCGTAATTAGACAACATTCCTTTAATTCCGACTTGCTTAGGATAATTTGATGGTTTGATCCAATCTTGTTTCCTTCAAACAAAGACTATTTGAATGCATACTTTATCTAACAAAACCTCAATTACTTACATTAGTGTTGTTAAAGATCATTAACAGTTAGAGAAATATAAAATGAAACTGTAAAAACTTCGCTGACTGCTAAATCTTCTTTTACTTGTATTAACTGTTCAAGATTTCTTTGTGAATATGTAAAAAAGTTTATACTCATGGCTTCCAAAATGTACTACAATTTGGATATATAGAACACTCCCAAGCTAGTTATCTGATTGGCCCATTTAAATCTTTTATGTTTTAACTTGTCGATTCATAATAATTGTTTCTTGACTTCTTCATCTTTAAAACTAACACAGTTAAAATACTTTTGTCAAGTCTTAATATGTGCACGATTAATGTAGTTCTATAGCCATTATGGTAAATTGCTTGTCTTTTTCTACACCTTCAATTTTTAATTTTTTAGGATTCATGTTCTTAGCCTCTGTGGCTTCTACAACCACGGAGCTTCAATCATTCCACCACTATCTGTCACTACTCGCTACCATCATAAAGAACTTATAAGCAATGGGGGTCCAAGAAATTAATGGGGTGGGTGCACGTTGGATGGGATTTGGGGGAGGCAAGCATATGACCCATATGAGACTGGTGAGAAACCATGTAGACAAGGATAACAATAGAAAATTTAAGCTAGTCAACAAACGTTTTTGGTCTTTGACTGGAGGCATTTCCCCCAGTCCTTAAGGGCTAGATCCTCCCCTGCTTATAAGAATAATGAAAAAGAAAAAAATACGTTAAATCTAATTCCCATATGTTCCCATCTCACCACCATCTGTGTCCACCTTCGTATGCACCACCACAATCAGACAACATTCATTGAAAAAAAACTGGAAAAACAGATCTCCAAAACCAGACAAATGGTTTAGTTATGTATAAGAGCAAGGCTCTAGATGAGCCACAATCGTCATCCTTGTTGCGGCCATATTCATCGAACATAGTGTTTCAGTCGAATGGGATTCCACAACCTCCATCTAGGAAATGACAAACTTATCATCTTCTTATAAAATGTTGAAAAGTCTGGTATATTTTCTCATCTATTATATATCTGATTTTTGATATTACTGTGTCAACAAAAAAATGTATTGTTGTTTATGTACTGCTTTAACTTTCAACTAATAATGCATTCGGTCATTGCATTACCAATACCGATTATCGCTTCATGTTAATTAAGTAATTACCGTGAAATTTAATAGTGAAAATGAAAATTAATCTCATTAGAGTTTTTAATTTTTAGAGTAAAAGGTTGAAGAAGTGATTTTTAGAAATATAATTTCATTTAAAATTAATTTTTTTTAAATAATTTCATCGTTATCTGCTTTCATATCCAAGCTGATTGTACAATTGGCTACAAGAGTGGTACATTCTCATCACAGCCTTATTCCAATCTCGTGGCATCAAAATAAACAAGATAGATGACACGTGGCATCAAAGCATTGGCTTTGATTTGCTTTTTAATACCTTGCGGACATCTAACGCAGAATGTGTACTGTAGGTGCAAAGAAAGAGAAACCAAAAGTCCAAAAGGGGAAATTTTGAAATAAGCCCTACATGTTCTTACCAATTTGCATAATGAACCTTTAATAAATATTATTAGTCAAAATTGAACCTTTACTTTGTAACATTACCATATCAGTCCCTTGGGTGTGCCAATTTGTCTTCAATGGTTTAAGAAATAGCATATAACTTGCAAGTTTGTCTTAATCAAGCACATATATTAGCACTCAAGTGTTTGTTATGATTGATATAATATAACTATAATAATAAGTTAAAGATTGACCTTTATATCTTTAATTTATGTTCATATATTTTTCTATTGTTAATATGGTAATACAAAAAATATATTGATGACAAAATGAAAAGTAATAAAAATTTCTTTATGGTCACGGAGGTTCAAATGCGATGATTTTGAACTATCTGCAAAATAGGTGGTCGTCTTGGAATTATTCGGCTTGCATAACGGGTTGGATATCTAGTTTAATAAAAAAAAAGAAAAAAAGTAATCAGATGAAAATGAAAACGGAAATGAAAATTTTTAATTAAAAAAGGTTACTTTAAAGTTTATAATTGAATAAATAATATATAACTTCGTTTTGAATTTGTTATGAAAAATTGTGAGTTCGAAATATAGAAAGATGAAAAGGTATATGGATTAGGGTGAAATGACTATAAATTCTAAATTATAAAAAATAAAATATATTTTTTTATGATTAAGGGGTCATTTACCAAACATTTACTCGGTAAGTGCTTATCGGTAAAATTTAACACTATCATTTACTTACCGGGTAAGACTTTAGTCCACCAATACGGCATCATATGCAACAATTTACCCGGTAAGCGCTTATCATAATAAAAGTCGTCGCCCTCACTTACTGGGTAAGGTTCTCGGTTCTTGTCTCCCTCTTACCGGATAAGATTTTTGGTACTTACAATATTCATCCGATAAGATAATATGACTTGATAAACGCTTATCTGGGTAAGCATTTGGTAAACGACTTCTAATACTTGGATATGTTTATTGAATATTAGAGAGTTTGAATTATAGAAAATTAAAAAAAATTAATAGAAAAAACGATTCTAAACCCTAAAATGTAATACACACAAAAACTAAATATAATCTCCTAAATTAAATATTTAGGCTTGTTGATGAAAAGAGGATTATGGAGAAAACTATCAGAAGTAGGGGTGCTCAAAAACCCGACTAACCCGACCAACCTGATCAACCCAACCCAACCCAACCCAACCCAATGCGAAATAACCCAACCCGATGTCTAATCGAGTTGTAAAATTGTCAAACCGTAAGTATTTGGTTGATATTGAGTTACTATTATTTGAACCCAACCCAACCCGATGACCCCGATGACCCCAATATCATTTTATTTCTTGGATTTAATATGATTGTTGAATTTCTATTAATATATACATTAGACAATTACACTATCATGTATGCTTTTCATATACACATATTTTCAATCTATTCATATCTCTATATAACTCATTCAGTAACTGTGAACATATATATGTAAATTGAGAAAATTAACTTAATGTGATATACGTAAGAAATATGAATAAGTTGTATCAAATGGTTGATGATGAAAAAGAAATTATGAGTAGAGAAATAACATATTCAAGGTTAGAAGAATATTTTAATATACCAAAGTATCAACAAGACCAACCCGACCAACCCGTACGGGTTGGGTTGGGTTGGGTTGCACTTTGGTTTGGGTTGGGTTGGGTTAAAAATTTTCCAAACCGTAAACATTGGGTTGGGTTGTTCAAATGTCCTCAACCCGATCAACCCAACCCATGAGCACCCCTAATCAGAAGCATTGAAGAAAAGTTAAATGATAAAAATTAATAAAAATATATTAAGTTTAAAACTAAGTAATGAAAATAAAATATATTCTCTTATATTAATATTGAAAAAAAAATACAATATATTAAATTTTCAGTTTAGAGGTTTAAATTCAATGGGTTGGGTTCTGGTGAGAAATATAGTTAAGATGAGAAACGTAAGAATGGATCTCCACTCTTAGATGACATTAGAACGAGATGTACCAGATCAATTCCCGTATCAAGTGCAATTCATGATGAGTTTGAGATTAAAGGTGATCAAGTATTCAGATCTTTTCTTACGCTTCTCACATGAACTTTGCTTATCACACGATACTTCGCCTGAACTTCGCCTGAACTCTAGTTCCCAAACTTGGTTGCTAGGCACCGTTACCAACTAACGAACACTCCATTGTATTTAAAGTTAAGTTTCTTTTATATATCATAAGTTTATAATATACTTAACACTAAAAGAGAAAATACTGACGGCCTTGTGCATCCGAACAATCGGTACGTTCCCAAGGCCATCCCATAGCTAGCAATGGAAATGATGACAACGATGTTTTTAGTTGACGACAAGGTTTAACGGTTAATCACAAGGGTGTTAACGTGATGGATAGGAACAAGGAGATGATAAAATTCCTGGTTCAAATCATGTCTTCTATGTTATACACTTGAGGCTATGCTATTGAGAGATTTATATGAGGGTTGTGGACAAAACGTACAGTTGCAATTAGTCATGAGATTGATCCAGACGAAATATGAGATCACCCATTTCCAAAAATAAATAAATGTTTAACTGTTTCCCCTCCATTTTATGATCCAAAGTTAGATTTTACACATAAGTAAAATAATCTTTAAACCAAAATATCATAAAATACATAGGTTAAGATTCTATATTTAAGAGGTTGTTTGTTTACCTTTTAATAGTTCCATTAAGAGGTAACATCTGAATCATTAAGAGGTGAATCTTGTTTGGCAAAAAAAAGTTTACCTCTTGATGGTTCTAAAATCATCTGAATGATTTTGCATCATAAGTCTCCCTTAACATTCAACGCTCTAATTTCATTATAAACAATCAACAAACAATTATATTTTATTTTGCACTATATCATGAAAGCCTCTTAATCATTCCGACCACTTAATCTCTGCACTAAACCATTCAACAACTACCAAACGGTTGGTTGACTTGTTAATTTGCAATTTTTAATCTTGATCTTGTTCGTCGTCGTAAGTTGACATCGTAAAACAAAACATGAAATGAAATGGACTATTTAAATGTACCAAATGTTGTTTCAGGGTTTATAGTGAAAATGTATAAAACGTTAGGGTTATTTATGTAATTTTCAACTGTTAAAATGTGAGACGACTCCGAAAAATCCCCAAATTAAAAGGCAGACAAACGCGTCTTCTAGCTCACCGCAAAAACCTACAGAAATTTCTCAATCGGAGCCCTAGATTTTCTCCATCGTTTTCGTCGATCTCTCTTCTCCGCCTGAAATCATGGTTACCTCTCGCTCTTTATCTATGACACGCACACAGAAATACACTCTGTCGACTCATTTGTTTACATACTGGGATTATATGTGGTTTTGTTTGATTTGAGATATTTACTGCGATCTGTACCGCCTGTCTGCTGATTTTGTTAATCTGTTGATGTTGATAGTGTTGATCTTTGTTCCTGGTGATTGATTTTCGATTATGTGTGATTTACATGTCGGTGTTGATTGTTATGTTCGAACTATTCCTCATAATACGAGTTAAGTCAGATCGAAGGTTCAAGTGGTTAGATGTGTTTCTGGATTACTAAGAAGCGACGCCAGGAATTGTTCAAAATCTTCAGGGAGGCCTGTGATTATGTGTGATTATTGATCTTTTAAAGCGCAATTAAGGTTGGTGGATATAGGCATCTGATTTGAGATTTTGAACACAAACTATGGCATTTATATCTAAACTGCATAATAAACTAGGAGATAGGCCAGTACGATGAGTGACAGAGTAAGAGAAGGCCAGCAGTGGCCCCCTCAAATTTTGTAGCTAATCTAATTATTTGGGACCAAATTGGCTAGTCTTGGAGGGGAGTTAATTTTACTGTTGTACGTGGACGAAGAGCTTTGCATATACCTTGTGGATTAGGGGATCCAAGGTGTCTTTTACCATGTTTGTTAAAAAAATAGAGGTATCTTTGTAATTGAGGAGGGTTAATATGCATCTGCTTGGGCATTTGAGCCTTTTTATATTTCTTACAGATGTTCAGTGATTTCTTGATGGTTATCATTTGTTGGTGAAAGTAATTTCTCTTTTGACAGATTGTGTGTCAGTTATATATTATGGGTTGGGAAGTGGCAGGTTTCTTTTGCCAACTTTAAGATGTGCTTGGCTGAACCTTTGCTTTAGTGAGAGACTGTTTGTGGTTGATATGGTTTTAATAGACAACTTCAGAGAAATTCGATAGCTATATCCATATGCTACCTGGAGATTGGATTGAACTGGACTGTGAGCTAGCAACTGTAATTTCTCATGTAGTAAAAAATTGAAATTAGCAGCCTTTTTTGTTCTTTGGGAACCTATTCTGATAAGAACATCAGTGTTTAGTATTTAGTGGAATGTTTATGTATGTAACTTCATTGCAAAAAATTAACTATCTGCTATTTAGGCTACTTTCTGACAGACTATACCATGTGAAGACAGCATGATTTGGGCTGTATGTTTGATCTAGTACAGGGTCTTGGTGTAAGCAAGGTTGTTGAAAGGGTCTTGGTTTAAGCAACGTTGATGGTGATCTTGATTTATGTGATGTTGCAGTAGAATGCCTCATTGGTATCACCTCACATAAAAGATTGTTGCTAAACAACCTGTAGATCAAGATTCTTCACTGATGCAACACAAAGCTATATGGCAAATAGGCTTTGCTTTTAATTTCTATTTAATAATTTTATATCCTGCTAAATGTTGACTACAAAATTCAAGTTGCTTCTAATTTCTATTTTGGAATTTTATATACTGCTAAATGTGGACTACATAATTTAAAGCCTACAAGCTTTTTGTTCATAAAAATGAGGGTGGTGTAAGGTTTACTTATGGATGGGCACCTTAACACGGTGAGACGTAGTCTTAACTCGGTCTCTTATCTGTCCTACTATGTTGGTTGTTTAATGTTTCAACATGGCCTGGTGGAAAATAGCCGAATACTGCTATTGTTAAGTACCACAGACCCTTTTATTTAACATATCTTGTACCATCCATGTGATTTTACACAAATAAGCTATTCAGCTTGTGATCTCACTTTGTTAAGTGTTGCTATGCTGGTGGATTGATATTCTATTGAACTTATAGGCCAATGCAGCATCAGGGATGGCTGTGCACGATGAGTGCAAACTAAAGTTCATGGATTTGAAGGCAAAGAGGACCTTTCGCTTCATCATTTATAAAATCGAAGAGAAGCAGAAGCAGGTGATTGTGGAAAAGCTTGGGGAACCAGCAGAGACTTACGATGAATTTGCAGCATGTCTCCCTGCTGATGAGTGCCGATATGCTGTCTTTGATTTTGATTTTATGACTGCAGAAAATGTCCCAAAGAGCAGGATTTTCTTCATTGCATGGTAGCAATAACCCTTTTATGGTTATTTAATCTGTTTGTAGTTTGATGGCTTCTAATTATAGTTTAATTTGCCCATTAAGGTCTCCGGATACCGCAAAAGTGAGGAGCAAGATGATTTACGCGAGCTCCAAGGACAGGTTCAAGAGAGAGCTGGACGGAATCCAGGTGGAGTTGCAAGCAACAGATCCGAGTGAGGTGGGGCTTGATGTTATTAAAAGCCGAGCAAACTGAAGCTGCATAATATGTTTGAATGGAGATGCTGCCTTGATTCTTCATAGAATATTGTCATTTTATGTTAAATGTCTATAGTTCACTTGTGGTATGTAGATTAATCAGTGGCTCTCCTCCTTTTCATCAAGAACTAGTGTGATTTCTCAGGTAAAAATTGTGTGGTGATGTTTTGTGTGATTCAACAAAAACTGATATGAATTTCGACACTATTTCATTTTCCATTTTTGGGATGTTTGGAAATCCATTTGCATTCTATTGTTTATCAATCTTATCATCAATCTACAGTTGAAGCTCAGCATCTTAATCGACAACATTATTGCTGAAGGATGAAGCCATTGGTGCAAAAAAGTAAGTTTCATCTATTACTTCAACCTTTTTACATGTTATATATCTTCTAAATTACGGTTAATGCACATACTTAGGGCTGTTTACTGTTCGCCAAAAACACTTACCGGTAAGATTCAACACTTTCACTAACCTTCTTGGTGACCAAATGATACTGTATGCAACAATTTTACCAGTAAGTGCTTAGCGGTAAGGTCACCACCTTCACTTATCAGGTAAAACTTCTCTTTTTTTGCGTCTTACCGGGTAAGGTTGCAAGTCCTTGTCACGTTAATCTGGTAAGACAAGTGACCTGTTAAATACTTTGTAGACATTCCTTGTTCACAAACATAATATCTATTATATGTTTCTAGGATTTCAATTTTTTCTCATGGACCTTTTTTCGAAAAAGAAAGAATTATTTTTTTTTTCTCGCAAGTCAGATGTTTTCATGAAAAATAGTGTTTCTACCTCTTTAGGTAGAGGATTTGTCTGTGTATATTTTACCCTTCTCAGATTGTACTTTGTAATAATTGTTGAGTTTGTTTGGTTTGATTTAATATTTGTTACTAGGATCTGTTGTATTCGTCTGCGGTATGTAGACTTATCCTCTGTTCCGATTTCGTTGTCATAGCGCTCTTGCACACATCGATCGAAGCTTCTTACATTTGCTGGTTTTGCTTCGTCCGAAAATTGATGTAACCATAAAAAGAGAGTACAAATAATACACCCTATTTCGTCTTTCCTATCAAATTGAACACAAAACCGTCAACATACAAAAAGTTGAAACAATTGTAAGTAGATGTGAAATTGATGGATCTTTTATTCATAGTTGATGTGAGATCTAGTTTTTCCAAATATTGACAGAAGTCGTAATACCCGATTGACCTTAAAACAGAACCGAACCAAATGGTATGGTTTTGTTTATCTATTGAGAAAAGGGCCAAGAATCAAGGAATCGACCCATTAAATTCGGCCCAACTAAATATTTGCTTTCTACATAATTAAAGATTCATCTTTCATATCAAACCTTATCGGGTTAGTAACCGTTTATCGGTAAGAATCATCAGTCTCATTTATCTTAGAGGTAACATTTTCGGTCATCATAATAGATTAATGGTGAGGGTTTATAACCTGGTAAACATTTATGGTAGAAATTCAAATGTTCATGTTTGCGGGATGATTCTGGTCTATGCTTTTGTTCCTGAAATATGTGCTCGTGTAGAATTTTTACACTTAGGTCACATATGGTTACATATATAAATCCAGTAACAGAGAAGAATCAAGAAACTTTGCTAAAGGTCTTAGTTGCTCTAATGGTATATAACCATCAGTAGATCACTTTTCCGTCTTGTTCATCTATTGCGGTGCAGCAGTTACCTCCTGCCTCCCGCCTTGGCCGCTAGCCGGCCCCACCTTACGTATTTGCGGAAAAAGGAGAGCTCTTGAGATGTAAAGAGGGAAGATAGGTTGGTTTTTTTAGTGGCTTTTGAAGTGAAGGGGGGTGGGGGTGGGGGTGGGTAAGAAGACATGATGGATGGGTTTGGCTTGGACTGAGGTTTGATCATCTTCCATAGTGTATTCCGTGTCCTATTCATTTCGGCCGTTTGATATTTCAACTTTGCGGGTTTCGGTTATATGGTGTAGGAGAAAAAGAGAGATCAATCTAGGTCTCTAATGAAGATTGAATCCACAAAATAAAGAACGGATGGAAACGGTATAGATAATTTATGCTTATTTTTGATACCTGTGGGGTCTGGACTAGCTTGCCTGCATTTCGACTGATCTCATAGGGTCCTGAAGTTGATAGTCAGCCAAACCACCAGTGAGGACTTTGAACGGGTGAGCTAAGATCTTATTGGTTGAGCTATCCTTGAGGACTTGTATACATGATCTTTGTGAGTTCGGTTTTGGTGAGAATAAGAGTTATGGTGAGAAGGTGGAACAGAACCTTCATATACATTCATATACCTTCAACTATGTTTATTTACCAATTTTTATTGTTATAACCAAAACTTTAACAAATTCATGCATGCGAACGTGATTAAATGTACGTAAAAGTTCATGAAAATGACTAAAGATGAAGAAAAAAGTATATGAAGATAACTAAAGATAGTTGAAGGTAAATAAAATTAGATTAAAAAGTTCACTCATCTAAAGGCTCAGAAGTGTTCTCACTATTCTTACCATAATTGTTATTCTCACACGATCTGGAATATGATATTTGTTATAGATTGATGCCAATTTTTATACAGAAAGCAAGGGATAGGGAGGAGCAATGCAGAAAGCTTAAGTAGTTAAATTGGATTGGAATGCTTATTCTAATACATAGTGTAAGTAAAGAGTTTGATTGTTTGTCAAACATCTATAATAAGCAAATAAAGAAATCTTGTTGATTAAGTCAACATCACCATGTATCTTTAATGATTACGGGTATTCGTACAATGTAGCGAGATACATCTTGATTTTAATGTTTTTTTGTCTCAATGGATGTTCTATACGGTTTTATGGGTTTTAAGAAAATTATAATGTTTTCATTTTTAAATAAAATATAAATACAAAGATATTATAAATTTTAAAAAAATATATATTAATATTAGTATCAAACTAACTATTTAAAATTTCTCCATTTTTTGTAATTTCTTTAATTCATTTCTTTTATCATTTCTATGTATATCTGTAGTTAGTTACACGAATTCACACATGGACCTTTAATAAATTATACTTACATATAATTTACTTGTAATCTTGAACTTAAGTAATATACATCAATAAGCAGTACTTCATGCATAAAAAATGATTTTAAGAGTTTTTGTCAAATGTTTATAATATAGTTTAGATAATGTAATTTGAATTTAAAATCTTTTTAAAAAAATGAAATGTCGCTAATTATCGATAAACAAGAAAATGTAGTAAATTCCGTGTTAGAAAGTATGATACTAGATTAGCAGTATTCTACCATGGGTGTTTCGTGTCATCGGAATCATGCATCATGACGATAGGCCAAAGCAACAAAGTAGTAGGGACCGAACTCAAGAGTGGACCTACTAAGCATCCCCGTTCACTTGATTATCGTAAATCATGAATACCCATTTAATTTCGAGGATACTCTAAACTATTTTAAAACCGACTTTACAGTAAAAACGTAGCTTTGGTGGGATGGTGTAGGTTGGAGTTCTCTACATAGGAGATCTAGGGTTTTAACCCAAGTTGTAACATATATTCAATTTTTTGGTTCACAACTAAACAACCAATAACTCTTATTCTAACTTTGATATGTTTCGATCCTAAATTATTAAGTTCAATAATACATTGAATAATCTATTAATTTCATCTCAATTTTCAAATTTGTTTCCACTTTTTGTTGATTAACTGTGTCATCACATCCTCTTATAAATTATTATGCTGTTAATCATTAACTTTCCCTAACAGTACAAGTTTTTCCTCTTGGTATGTTTGTAATTTGTTTTTAGTTATTTAATTGATTATTGTACTCGAAATCTTGGATGCATAAGGAAGCGAAGTTTAATGCATAGTTAATTTTGATTTGCAAAACATCCAATCTGATACTAGGAATTTAGAGGTATAAGGAAATGAAATAGAAAACCTTGGGAAAAACGGAGGATAATCAATGCCAAATATTGAAAATTGGAAATTTTTATGAAATCAACCAAAAGAAAGTTTCCTATAACGTGGGAATTCAGTTAAAAACACGTCGGATGTAAAACCTACTCTTGTGTTTTTGCTCAAAAAGTCAAGGTCGATTCAATTTGAAAAATGTATTATTTTTAAAATCGGCATAATTAACTATCTATCGGGTCAAACCATGTCGACTTTTCCCTCTGATCAAACCCGCGACTTTGCGCGACTTAAAGATGCAGTGGCTTAAAAAGAATCCTGGTTCACCACTAACCAAACTCGCAGTCACAAACCTAAGATTTTTGCCGAGATGCACTTTTAAGGTGGATCAAAGACCCACAAATTCGCCCGATTTGTTTTTAGCCGAATTCCACATTTTTGAGATTTTTTGGTTGATTTCGAGTGACTTTTTTGATTTTTTTAGTTGATGTTTCTTGTATTTTCTAGTATCCTCAAGCACTCTCAAAGTTTAGCAATGCACTAAAGGCTTTTGGCCTAACATCGTAGTCTTTGGTCTTCTAGAAGGTCAAGGGGTTCAAACCTCACAAAAGGTGAGGAAAGAGCGTGAGTTTATTTGTTGCATTTGTAGTATATAAATATTATATACTTCAAAAAAATAGTTTAACAGATGCACCTTTCATAACCCAAAAAGTTTTCTACTTACGGAAATGGGTTGAATTGGTTCCCAAGACCCTACTCAGGCCTCCTTAGGTCCGACCCGACTAACCAGTTACAATGTTCGTTATGGTGATTAATAAAAATTTATTAAGTACTAATGTTAGAATTAGAAACTTCACATAAGTACATAGTTGTAAATATTTCAATCATAGTTGATATTTTTAAGTATTTGACAGATTTTATTTCTTGCGAAAGGATGTCGTTGTACAAGAAATTGAGAACCTTATTGCAGTAAGCTGTAAACAAGTATAAACACAAATAACTCAAAAAATCCGGCTTATAATACCAAACAACTTACAACATATAATCTCCTTGTAAATTGTATCATATACTTGAATGGGCGTTTTCTTAGATGGTGTCATACAACTACATGCATGCTTTATAGTTTAGGCATACACCACTACTTATGGCTTAATGTGCCACTGTCTGCTATGATTGAATACCCTTTTCATCATATATCAGTATTTACGCTGCGTATGCATAGTGTGTTCTTTTGACAACTTGATTAGCCATTTTGTAATCCCATACCTTAGCTTTCTATCAAAAGAAACGAAAACAATTAAAGTTTGCTATTTGATCTTTTTTGGACCTTTTTCTTTCATGTCTCCAACCCCACAAAAC